TAATAGTAAATTTGATAACTGCCGCTGTATCGTTTAATACAGCTATAAATAATTTCAAGCTGCCGCTGTATCGTTTAATACAGCTATAAATATTTTCAAGCTGCCGCTGTATCGTTTAATACAGCTATAAATAATTCGAAGCTGCCGCTGTATCGTTTAATACACTTATAAAATCTATTCATTTATCTTTTATGAATAATTATTCCAATTTGCCGATGTATCGTTTAATACAGCTAAAAATAATTTAAGACTGCCGCTGTGTCGTTTAATAAAGCTATAAATAATTCCGCTATATCGTTTAATACACTTATAATAATTATTCCAATCTGCCGATGTATCGTTTAATATAGCTATAAATAATTCGAAGCTGCCGCTGCATCGTTTAATACACTCATAATATCTATTAATTTTTCTTCCATTTCCAGACTTTCCTATCCGGAGCAACAGAACATTGTGGCCCTGGTGGAGAACCATCCGCTTCCCACCCAGCTGTCGCGAAAGATTAATCTGCTGGACAACAAGATCGCCCACATCCATGCCCCCCTGACTATTGGATGCATCCTGCCGCTGACTGTTTCGGTATTCGTCATCCCTTTGGTGGAGGAGCAGATCTACAACGTTCGATTCCTGCAACATATGGCCGGACTGGGCCTGAAGGTCTTCTGGGGCGTCAATTTGTTCTGGGACTGGTTCACCTTCTTCATCTACTCGGTGATCATTGTGGTGATCATGAGCCTGATGGGCATCGGTGGCTTTGGCTTTACCGAGAACGCGATCCTGCTGCTCCTGCTGTGCATCTTCGGGCTGGCCGCCCTGCCGCTGACCTATCTGGTGTCCATGTTCGTGAACAAATCCCTGGTGCGGGCCTTTCTCGTCTCCGTCCTGCTGCAGGGAGTTTCGGGCCTGGTGCTCTACATGATCTACTGGGATGTGGCCAACAGCAATACGATCTTCTTCTACGGCGCCTGCATGTCGCCGGGATTCGCCCTGCTGGACGGCGTGAGCAATGTGTACACCCAGTGCCTGGAGCAGGAGATCTGCAGTGCCAAGTGCCAGGCGCACATCAGCTGCACGGAGGACAATATGCACGAGGTGGTGCCCAATTGCAGATGTGAGTACTATAAATATTTTAAATGCATATGAATATCATTTTGATATTAAGATATGAACTAATATGTTCAAAAGAAAGCAATTACATATTTATAAATATTTTAAATGCATATGAATTTCATTTTGATATTAAGAAATACCAAAATATAGAAATGTATATATTTATATTCAATCAATCAATATGAAACGTCGATTGATTTTACATTATTTAAGATCAATTTAAATTTAATATGCTGCCTGGTAAATTTAATCTGGTCGAAAAGAGTATTTCATGTAAAAACGATATGACCTGAAATTTACATGGCCATATCGATTTTACGGAAACATGTTTTTTTTTTGTGTGTAGTAAATTTCGATTTTATTTTAAATACTTTAGAAATAATTTATCTTCTAAAACCATAGTATTATTTTTGATCCTTTCCAGTTGGCACTCATTTCAAGTGGGCTGCTCCTGGTATTTTACCCGCCATTGTCTTTATGCTTGTGTCCGCTCTAATTTTCCTGATGCTGATTTTCTGGATTGAGCTGCATCGCAGGGAAAAGAAGTTCCACACACCCAGAGAGTGAGTTTGGATAAAATTATTATTATTTTATATTTTATTTTATGTTTTACCTCAAGTCTCCGTAAAATGAGGACTGCTACTTATCCCTTCGACGATGGCGATGTGGCGGATGTGAAGCTAAAAATCGCAGAGGCGGATAATACGAAGGCCAAGCAATCGGTATTCTTGGTGGATCAGGTGGAGGCCAAGGTTCCAACTGCCGGCAAAAGGATCAACACTGTCTCCTTTGCACTGAACAAGTAAGTAATGTCCAACAAAATATTTATTAAAAACCCTAACTCAAACAATAGGCATTAAAGTGTTAATTAAACTATTAACATGACCTATAGTTCCATTTCAAATCGACAGATTGATATGAAATTGGAAATACTTTTGTAAATCATTATTATAAAATAATCTAGGCAGATATTTTCCTCGAAAATCATGTGCAATCTATTAACATGACCTATAGTTCCATTTCAAATCGACAGATTTATGTGAAATCAGAGATACTTTTGTATTTCACTTTTATAAAATATTCTAGGCAGATATTTACCTCGAAATCCAAGTGTAATCTATTAACATGACATATAGTTCCATTTCAAATCGACAGATTGATATGAAATCGGAGATACTTTTGTATTTCACTATTATAAAATATTCTAGACAGTTATTTCTCTCGAAATTCAAGTTGAATCTATTAACATGACATCTAGTTCCATTTCAAATCGACAAATTGATATGAAATAGGAGATACTTTTGTATTTCACTATTATAAAATAATCTAGGCAGATATTTACCTCGAAAATCAAGTGTAATCTATTAACATGACATATAGTTCCATTTCAAATCGACAGATTGATATGAAATCGGACATACGCTTGTATTATGCTATTTTAAAAGAAATCAAAAAAATATCTCCCTATAAAACCAAACTGTATACCTTTTCTGGCATTTAAGGTACATGAGCATGGGCATCTTTGGGCCCCGTAACTCCGGCAAGAGCCACTTGATGCGGCAGCTGGTGGGCGAGGAGGGATTCGCCTTCGGCGAGATCTATGTGCGGGGCCTGGACTTCAAGTACGATCTGGAGAGCATCCACACCTACATGGGCTACAGTCCGCAGCACTGGGGCCTCCTGAACGAGCTGACTCCGCGGGAGCACATCCGGCTGTTGTGCATGATCCGCGGTGTTCCCGAGGCGAAGATCGGCGAGAAGATGCACGACTTGTGCCTGATGCTCAACATGACCGGCTGGATGCATCGCAAATGCAGTTTGCTGACCGCGGAGAAGCGGAGCAAGCTTAAAATCGCTCTGGCACTGGTGGCCTACAATAAGATCCTCGTTTTGGACGAGCCCACGTGCGGCATGCCGGCCACTACGAGGCGAGAGATCTGGAATATCCTCCGTTATATACGATATTGCGGCAAGACCATCATATTCGCCACCAACGATGAGCTCGAGTGCAAGATCCTAGCCGACTTCATTATCCTGTTCCAGGACAGCGAGATGCTGGCGATTGGCAGCCTGCAGTATTTGCGTTACAAGTACAGCCATGGTTTCTATCTGGAGGTTCGTCTGATCCGCGATGGAGCCACCCTCGCCGAGTCGGAGGAGAAGTGGGTCATATATCTTCTTTGTGTTAACTTGAGTTTAAAAATCCCGTTTTTTAGTTTGCGCAAGGATGTGGATAACCTGGCCAAGTTTGTCAACTTTTTGCACAACAGATCTGAATTGGTGTAAGTTAATAGCTATTTTTTTTTGTTATTTTAGGGGTTCAACAACCATTTCCTTAAAATGGTTAAAAAAAAGTTTTGTTTATTTAAATTCAATTTTTATAAAAAGTTTATCAACTTTTTGCATAAAAGATCTGAATTAAGTTAATAGTTTTTTTAATCGTTTAGGAGTTCAACAACCATTTCCTTAAAATAATAAAAAAAAAAAAAAAATTTATATAAATTTAATTTTTAAAAAAGTTTGTCAACTTTTTGCATAACAGATCTGCATTATTGTAAATTAATAGCTTTTTTTTTAAATCTTTTTTTTTCTTATTTTTTTGTTCAACAACCATTTCCTTAAATAAAAAAAAAATTTTTTTGTATGTATATTTAATTTAAAAAAAATTATATCTTTTTTAGCGCTCGTCTGCACAATTGGTTCAAGTTCTACGTGCCCGTGGGCCAAATAGTTTACTCCTTTCTATATGGAGCCATGGAGAAGAACAAGGTGCGCCTGAACGTGAGCGACTACTGCATTTACCAGGCGGACATGATCAATGTGGTGGCCCAGGTCCAGGAGACGCGGGCCCAGTTGAAGCACCATCTCGTCCAGACGGAGGGTCCCCTGCCCCTGGACACCACGATCACCAAAAAGGGCACACAGCCCAGGGCCAGGGGCAAAAAGTAACGCCCGCTGTATATTTTATACCCATTATACGTTTCTAAACGGTGATGCAAAAATTAGTTTCAGGTTTTTTTGTAGCTAAAAAACTAAAACCAAAAAAAATACTATTGTATTAGGTGTTGAAAAAACAAATCTTAAAATTTAAATAAATGCAAATATTACATGAACCCAGATTGAACTATGGCTCGAAGGTCAATGTCTGGCCTCGGCTGTCGTCCAGACTAAGGACCTCGGAATTGTGGGCTTTCCCGCTTTTAATAAATTACTACTTTACTGGCCTGCACACGTGTTGTTTTGCATAATTAATGTGAATCCCTGGGGAAGTTTTACAGCTCTGGGAAGTTCTCCACTTGTCGGCATTCATTTTTCATTTGCGTGCTCAATTAGTAACGCCACATTTTCAATTTAAGATTGATTTTTAGGCTTCGAAATTTGATTCTTGCAAAGAAACCAGTTTTAAAGTAAGTTACCCAGAAATAAAATTTTAAATTGAGCTTTGAATGCTATCGCTCTGCGCGCGCCACCTTAATCGATAGACGATTAATCGCTGCTCATATTTTGGCATTAGAATTATTCTCGCTCTCTCGCTCGCTCTCACTATTCGTACCAGCTGACGTAACAGTTATCGCTCTCCCTCTCTGCACCAGTGATGACGACTTTTGGCTACAAAATAGCTATTAAAAAAAGAGGAAGGTGTTTAATTTAATACAAGTGCTAATTGTAAGAATAGGAATAAAAAAAGTACATGTTTTCAAGTAATTTAATTGAACTTACCCTCGGTCTATTTTTGCAAATTTACACAATGATTTCCCAAACAGTGATAATTTAAAATTTTCCAATAAGATAAACGGTTTTCCCGCTGACAGCTGACCGGTCACCACTGCTCCGTGCTCTCCTCTCTCCACGCTCATTGTTGTTATTGTATTGACCGCCTAACAGTTTCGTTTCATTTCATTTTGTTTGGCATCTCCGGCGGCGTTAGAAGTACTACACTACTATTATTATTGTTTTATCACAGTGAACAGCTGTTTAACCCTGAAAATAAAATCACAGCAAAAGTTAATAGATTGTGCAAAACAAATAAAGGAAATATAGCGAGTGCGCACTTTGCTTAATGAATCGAATAAACTATGAACTTTTGGGCCCTCAATGACGCAGCGAGAGATAAAAACTAATAACAGCACTATATTTGTACATATATTGTTTATGTGTCGCGGTGTTTGTGCGGAATAATCATTAGACGGCCGCACGGTGGGTTCAAATCGGTGTAATCGCCGCAGATTTGCCGGTTCGATGTTCTTGTTCTTTTTTTCCTGTGAAAATATTTTGGCCAAGATGCAGGCCCACACACACACACACACCCACTTGCATCCATAGAGGCGCCAAAATTGTCTGTATAACGGTGCATACACACATTTTCCCGGGCGTAAAGTGTTGCATGCGCATCTGCAAGTGATGCAGTTACATTTACAGTTACATTCGCGCTGAACTTTGACCGTTACTTTCCAGGGCTGCAGAAAGCGATCGCAGGGCCTCGAATGGTGTCGTTCAGGGGGAAACCCCTTACAGTGAAGACTAAATAATATTTTCCAATGCTATAACATTTTTGTTTTAAAATATTTAGGCTTTTATTATTAACAGGCAATTTTTAATGTATTTTACGAGCTAATTTTGAAATAGTAAACATTTAACACAGATGTATTAATGGTATAAAAATAATATATATTACAAAATACTAAAAATATTGCAAATATAAAAAATGGAATCATAATTAATTATTCTTCAAAAAGTAAAAAGAGAACCCAAGTTCCACTGTGTAGCCCTGTTATTATAATAAATACCTATACTATATTCCATTTGCAGTGACAGTGCAAATAGAGGTGTGCAGAAAGGGCAACGGGTCAGCATAAATAATTAATTGCAATTGCCGCGAGTCCATTGCCAATCGATTATGCAGTAATGCTCGACGCCGATCTAATTTTTATCACTAAGTGGGCCCGCACTTAATCGCACAAACAACAAACAGAATTGCAATTTCAATTATTGCCCGCAAAACGTGGAAAGGGTAAGTGCAAAAGTAATTGAACAATATATAATAATCTACAGTTCAAAGTTATAAGTTATATGACTCACAATTGTAGGGATAAATATGCAGTTATTTCCGGTTTGCCAAGAGTGAGAAGTCACTTTTTCTGATATAAAAATAAATGAGTACAATTCCGAAGCATTAGATATTAACTAAAAATATATTTAATTACAAGTTTATATGCTAGACTTGTAAATAAGAAATTTGCTATATCTTGACGCATCAGTTTTTTATTTCAGGATGCACAGGCATTATCTAATCTCAACGTAGAGAGCAAGAAGTTGCTCTATATAATACAAAAAAATTTACCTTAGTATTGTACATTACAAGATAACTAATCCTTATCATTTATATCTTATAATATCTTTAGTTTTAGTTTGGGCGGTGAATGGGTTGCGTGCAGTGGGTTTATAGAAGGCTTGATAATGCCACTATTATCACCGCAATCCACTTTCCACGAGAAATGCTAAATTGGCCCATAGATTGTCCAATCAGTTGGCGATAGTAGAGTGCTCCTTCTTTTATGCGCGTCACATGTCAAAATGTCAGGCGCCATTAACGACACCCGATGATTCATGGTCGCAGTTCCCAAATTAGTCAGCAGGTGTGGTGGAGGTCCTCGTGATGAATGGGAGGTGTTATTGCTTTCGGTACATTCTGCGAAAAAATAATTCATATCAGATATTCGGCATCGTATTCCTATCAGGGGCGCACGCCTAGTACTCGTACTTGTAGCTATTCTTATCCAAGATCGCTTAGGGGAATTTATGATTTCCCCTGATAAGTTGAAGCAAAAAAAAATCATCCTTCGAGCCGGATTTGAACCAGCGACCTATGGATCCCTGCTTAGTATTTTGCATTCATTATGCAGCCATCTACAGTCCACCGCTCTACCAACTGAGCTATCGAAGGTTGTGTCATCATCTCTGCCCTCGACATTGTTCAATTTAAAATTTCACTATACTATATGCCACATCTATATGTGCATTATATAGCTTACCTTTCACTTTTGTTTAGTTCGTGTGGCTTCGTCTTTCGCAGCTCTTGTTTAGCTATTCGGACGCGACCCCCAACGCCCCCTTCGATAGCTCAGTTGGTAGAGCGGTGGACTGTAGATGGCAATTCGAATTTCGAAACAGCAGAGATCCATAGGTCGCTGGTTCAAATCCGGCTCGAAGGATTTTTTTATTTGTTTTTTTTTTTTATTTTTCTATTTTTGTGTTAAGGTTTAAACTCTTGATAAGCATCACAAGGCAAGTTCTAAGTAATGAAATTGTTTTTTCAAGAATTAAGAAAAGTTTTTACAGATTTTTAATCTTTTTTTTTAAAGCAATCTATGTTTTATGTTATTATCAACTATATTATAACGATGTTAAAAAAGAAGTATTTTACTTATGAGTAGTTTTAATGAATACAAGTACAAAATACCTATTTTAAAAAGCAGTATCCCTTTTTAAAGTCGTTAGTATTTTTAGCAAGTCCAAATCCCGATAACTTTAAGTTCATCCGTATCCGAGCATTCGGTGCAGAACGAGTACAGTCCGCCCCCAACATTTATGGCCCAGGTGTTCGCCCGTCCAGGCGAAAGTAAAACGTGTTTGCACTCTGGATCTGACAATATAAATTTAAAGCGGCGATATAATTCGTCGATGTCATAGTTACCGTTAAGGTTTCTTGTGCGATAAGAGGTCTATGAGAAGAACAGGTGTTCGTGCAAATTTCCTCGCAAATAATCTAAGTTTTTGGCAGCACGATTCCCGAGAATGTTTCCAAAAAAAGTGCTTAAAGTTTAATCGGATTGGCCAAGGGTAAAATCCTTCACAACCATCACATGGCCACTCAAGATTCGCATAATACAGACAAGCAATTAACCCTAACTAGCTTGAATCATTCAACGACTCCGGTGGCGGGTGAAAATCACAAAAGTGATCACATTCGATAAGAAAGTAGCGCAAAGATAATGAGGAGGGCCACGCGTCCCCGATGATTCATTTGAGTGAAGTTCGAACCCGCAAAGGGTTTTGGAATTAGTCACCACATCTACAAGAATTGATTGAATGATATTTCTCGAGATAACGAAAACCTAAAGAAAACTCATCACAGATGCTCTTTATAAATATTTATTTTTTATTCTTAAAACACAATTTAAGATGCTTTTTATTCATTACATATTTTATTGATTTTTCCTGAGATTTTAAAAACTACCATACAAACTATTATCTTTATTAGAAAGTTCTTAGATTGAGCCATTTTTTGAATGAACGGAAAGAATTTTGAACTACCATAAATGTTTATCTTTATTTTTATAGAGTCAATAAGCTGCGGACACTTTTAAATAGTTTAAAGAGCTCAAAAGTTTTGTTTTTCTTAGGACCATGAGCCTTTGCTTTTTAATTGTTGTGGTGGGAAAATTTAAATATTAAAGGTCCTGCCTTTAAAGACTATTGAAATTATTCAGGGTATCCAACGTTTTTATCGGGTAATTAAATGAACTTTTCAATTAACAATTATTAACAGTCATGACATACGGAATACCGGGCACTCCGTGAGTAATAGATCCACTCCCGATATATTATGATTTTATGGGGCCCCCAGACATCCCTGCCCCGATCCGATAAAGTCGAAAATCGAACGCGGACATATGTCTGCTTGTTCCACCGGCAGAGAGAGAGAGAGAATATGGGGGCTTATCATTTTTTAGCCCGGCCAAAACAATAAATGCTATTTGCTTTATTGGCCTTCCATGGAGCAAGAGCTCAGCTAGATTGCGTTCTATTGATAAATAAGCAAGATTGCCCAGCGTTGCGATTCAGTTCGAAATAGTCCGCTCGTCGAAACGGTCGAGTGTCCGCCGGAGTTCGCGAGTTCCCAAAGTTCCTGAGTTCTCGAGTTCCCGAGTTCCCGATTTTGAACGTATCGAGTTCCCGAGTCCCCAAGTTCCCGCCGCCTACTCATCCATATAGGCATACCGATTGTTTTTTCTTTATTTGTTCTTGTGCGGTGGCCCGTGTGACACTTTTTATTTGGCTAAGCTTCGGGTAAGTGAAGTGCCGTCGCTTGGCAGGTGGAAATCCGCCCTCCGATTATCATATCGGTTGTAGTACAGCTGTCGCTGACGCTTTCTGGATTTATGCCTCTTTATCTTTATCTCGGTTTATTCCTGTTCCACACGGGAAGGGGTTCGTGCGTTGGCGTCTCTCCCTTGGCGGATACGTGGGTGGTTCGCAATAGTCATTACCGGAATTACTTGGACTTGTGCCCGGCCCAACCATCAAAGGCCAATCGATTATGCTGTAGAACAATCAGGGAGCACAAAATATATATGCGAAATCGATATCATATTGTCAACAATGTAATTCGATTTGTCATAGATCATGTTTATCTGAAAGAAAAAAAGCTTTGGGGATTATGACTCTATAAAGTTTTCTTCTTATCTGAAAAATAAAAATAAATATAAGATCGCAAAAAAAACCTTTTAGGAATGTCGCTGATTTTTTAATGTATCATTCTGAAATTCCCCTGAAAAAATAAATGTATCTGTGACACACTCACCTTTTATTATTGCTAGTTATTAATATTTTCAATTGCAGATTTTTCGAACCAAAAGTGTTCCTTTCAATCTGATGATTCATAATTTAAATAAATATAATAAATCCTAATACTTAAATATAAAAATAAACAAAATTCAGTCCATATCTTTAAATTACAGATTTTACGAACCAAAAGTAATACATCTCATTTTCATTAATGACTCATAATTTAAAAACATAATATATTTTACAATATCTTCGAAGATCTCTTGTCAAAACATAATCATATTTACCACATTCACAGAGGAATTCCCTCGGAAGCATTTGACTTATCGTATCGAGTGTATATATATTCAACTGTATTTTATGCGAATCATCCTTAGATCAGCAACTTTTCCCATTGACGCCCAGACGCAAAATGTTTATCAGAACTAGTTGCCAGACTTCCAGTTTCCATTTCCATTTTAATTTCAGTTGTTCGGTTGTTAACTGCCACCTGCCAATGGATTTCGTTATAATTGTATAATTATTAACTGCCAAGTTATGTGTGCAATGGGAATCTAAACAAAGAAAAGTTTTTGGGGCTAACCCTCTTTATTATTAGACACATAGAGTATCAGGCCATTCAAAGATTAAAATACCAGACGATTTGAGTGCATTTGATAATGCAAACTGAAATCGAAGTAATAAATGTGTATTTCAGGCTCAATAAAGAGTGTACATTTATGGGACCCAAGGGAAAGGGAACCAGGGTTATTAGGTACCAAGGTCATTATTATTAAAAATTGAAGTATACGGTTTAACGAATAATATTTTTCTAAAGTTAAATAAAAATATTTATTTAAACTGTTATAAAAAGTTTTCGAACTTCGTTTTCCTAATGAATTCCTGGTAGTTTTTGGTATATAATATGAGCACATTAAAATTGTTATAGACTGTTATTGTAAACTGATAAACAAACTACTTCGTTTATGGGGGCTATCGGGATTCCAGAAATTTGAACGATTTGGGGGGCGTATCGCAAAATAACCGTAACGATGATGTTACAAGGGTTATGATTTATTTACGTTGGTTATTGTGTTTTTTATTGCGGTTCCTACACAGCCTTATCAATTGAACATAGCCGACGATGATTAGATAATTGGAAATACTTCATATAGCACACATAGATCGATAGACGCACTTGACATTGCACATTGGATTACTGTTTATTTACCACGATGATTTCCACTCGAGCACACGGGGTCAATTAACTTCCCGATGTATTACGTAATTCCGCAGATATATTATTTAATAGTTTTGGAGAAACGGAAATAATCAGTGAAAGTCTTTGTAAAACAAGAAATTTTTTCTGATGTAAAAGAGGCAATATTTCACAATATTATTAATTCTAGCCTATATTATTCAGTTCTAGTCCCTTGGCCCCCTGAAAAGGTTTAAGTAAATACACAAACCTTATGAATAACTGAACGTAGCAATCGAGGTCAACAAGAGTCAATAAAAAGTAGACTCTTTGCCTATTTAAAAATTCACCGTTCCAATTTCTAAACACTAACTTTTTCTAAGAAAATCAATAAGGCAATGAGAAATGTTAATATCTTAACTCTTAAAGACCTGAAAATTAAACATTTTCATTAAAAAACTTTATAAAAAATCTTCTTTTTTACATTACAGATCCTAATTTTAACCAATTTTAATGTCGAGATAATCTAGAAAAAGCGAAAAGCCAATCAAACAAAGCTGCAAAATGGCTAAGGTCACGAACTGGGACAAGTTTGTGCTGCTGCTGTGGAAGAACTGGACGCTCCAATGGAACCACAAGTGGCAGATGGTCATCGAGCTGGTGCTGCCGGCGATATTCTCCCTGCTCCTCGTCTTGGTCCGCACCCTGGTCGATACGGAGCAGAGGGGGGTCAAGTACTATGTGGAGCAGAATATAACAGATCTCAGTTTGTTGCAGTGAGTTTTTAATACGATGTCTAGATATATGTGCTTTCTGTCCCAGCGTTTTGTTTTTATTATCCTAATTTTCAGAGATTTATCATAAAGTTTTGGCTTCTACCTTTTTTTTTTTGCAATTTATATTTGATTTATATTAAAACTTAGTCGCTTTATTTTCTTTCGTTCACAATGTAGATTTTTTTGAGTGCCAAATATTGTCTCCTGCTGTTTTAAAAATGTTCTATATTTCTGCTTATTATGCTTCCTTTTTATTTACTTATAATTTTTATTTTGATTTGATCGCTGTGTACATTTTATTAGCTCCATCCAGTTTGTATTATTAATTATATATACATAATATATATAGATACAAATAGTACTTAATATTATTTGCTTTTTTGCGAATTTATATTTTTGGCTTACTATGCAGACTTTGCAGTTTTTCTTCTAATCACCCATCCTCTTAGATTTCCGTATATCCAATATATGTAAATGTTTTTTGTCTTGTTCTGGCCACGAAACCTGAAGACATTCGTTGCATAGATCGTCCTACCTTGGCAAGCTCATAGCGCTGATTGCACCCAATCGACGGAGGTAAACAAATCAAAAACAAATGGAAAATAAAACCAAACAGCACACAATACAAAGTCTAACCAACTTAACTGGTCACCTTAACAAAAGCTAAAACTGAACTGCACGCCTTTAATTTAAAATAACATTTTAAAACTCAGAACACAAAGCACACATAAGAAAATATTACACATTTTAAAAGGAATATATATAAAGCTAAAGAAAGCTAAGACTATAAACTCTAATAAGGTCTTTAAATAAAAGTTAATCATAAAGATGTATAAATTAAATTTATGAGGATTGTTTAAAATATAACAGGTTTATAATTTCCCCGCATTAAATGTTTGAAAAAATTGAGATTTTATATGTGATATCCAAACTAATATAAAAGGCTACCCATAAAAAACGGTCAGTAGCAAAAATTACCCAGAACGGATTGACATAAAATTCTAAAAAAACGTAAATTCGGAAATAATTAGGCGCAGCGTACTGGATATAAATAGTATTATAAATATTTTAAGAAATCTTATACATTACCCTTATACATTTCTTGATTTTAGTGAAAACTTTAATTTTCCACAATGACTGCACCCCCATCTAAAACTAATCCATTAAAAAACTAACTCAATAATCCATATTGTGTTTAAAATTACAATTTCCCGAGACCCATAATAATGGTTTAATGCTTTATAGCACCGGCTTGTCAAACTTCAAGTTCATCGTGTGCTACTCACCCGTGAATCCTGTGCTCAAGAAACTGGTGGACGAGGCGTGGCAGAGCCTGGGAATGAAGGATGTGTGCGAGTCGGAGAACGCGGCCCAACTGGAGGTGGACACGGTCAGTCAGAGCGCCTTTGCCGGCATCCAGTTCGACGATGCGTGGGCCAATCTCACGGAGTCGGATCCACTGCCCGATGATTTTCACTTCGCCCTGCGCTTCCCCTCGGAACTGCGAACGGCGACGATGGCCATTGCGAATACCTGGCTAACGATGCGATTGTTCCCAACGATTGATCTCACGGGTCCGCGAAATGAGGCGGATCAGGATGGTGGCATACCGCCGGGCTATTTGAGAGAGGGTTTCCTGCCACTGCAGCACAGCCTGTCGATGGCGTACCTGAGGCAGAAGTCGGGCGTAGAGAGTCTGCCGGAAATAATGATGCAACGCTATCCGTATCCAGCCTACATCTACGATCCCCTGCTCGAGGGCATGTCCTCGATAATGTCGCTGATCATACTGCTGAGCTTCATCTATCCCTGCACGTACATCACCAAGGTAAGTGGCTATGCCGGGATTGTGGTTGTTTACAGCAGAGAGATCCCCTCCACTCACGGCATTTCATTCACTTGCAGTACATCACCGCCGAGAAGGAGAAGCAGCTGAAGGAGGTGATGAAGATCATGGGCCTGAGCAATTGGCTGCACTGGACGGCCTGGTTTGTGAAGTCCTTCATCATGCTAACGATATCGGCCATTCTGATAGCCATACTGGTCAAGATCAATTGGTCCGAAGGGGTGGCCGTGCTGACGCATGCCAATTTCACTGCGCTCGTCTTCTTCCTGATCATCTACATCATAGCGAGCATCTGTTTCTGCTTCATGATGGCCACCTTCTTCTCGCGCGCCAGCACAGCGGCCGCCGTCACGGGTCTGATATGGTTCATCGCCTACATACCCTACTCGTTTACCATCAACACCTACGACGACCTGAGTTTGACGGCCAAACTGGGCTGGAGCCTGATCTCGAACACGGCCATGGGCTTCGGCATCAAGCTGATCCTGGGCTTCGAGGGCACCGGCGAGGGTCTGCAGTGGAGCAACTTCTTTACGCCCGTCTCCGTGGACGACACACTGACGCTGGGCGCCGTGATGATCATGATGCTGGTGTCGTGCGTCATCTGCATGACCATCTGTCTGTATGTGGAGCAAGTGATGCCGGGCAGCTTCGGTGTGCCGCGTCCCTGGAACTTTCCGTTTACCCGCGAGTTTTGGTGCGGCGAACGGGAGTACGCGGGAGTGGAGGACATACCCAACGGGCATGTGGAGCAGCGCGACCCCAAGGCCTTTGAAACGGAGCCCGAGGGCAAGCATATCGGTCTGCAGATGCGGCACTTGAAGAAGAAGTTTGGCGACAAGATGGTTGTGAAGGGTCTGTCCATGAATATGTTCGAAGATGAGATTACCGTGTTACTCGGGCACAATGGAGCCGGTAAGACAACGACCATATCGATGTTAACCGGCATGTTTCCACCGACGAGCGGCACGGCCATTCTGAACGGCAGCGATATTCGCACCAATATCGAAGGTGCCCGCATGTCGCTCGGCATTTGTCCGCAGCACAATGTCCTCTTCGACGAGATGAGTGTGTCGAATCACATACGCTTCTTCAGCCGCATGAAGGGACTGCGCGGCAAGGCGGTGGAGCAGGAGGTGGCCAAGTATCTGAAGATGATCGAGCTGGAGGACAAGGCGAATGTGGCCTCGTCGAAACTGTCGGGCGGCATGAAGCGCAAGCTCTCCGTCTGCTGTGCCCTCTGCGGCGACACCAAGGTGGTGCTGTGCGACGAGCCCAGCTCGGGCATGGATCCATCGGCCAGGCGACAGCTGTGGGATCTGCTGCAGCAGGAGAAGGTCGGTCGCACCCTGCTGCTGACCACGCACTTCATGGACGAGGCCGATGTGCTGGGCGATCGGATTGCCATCATGTGCGACGGCGAGCTCAAGTGCCACGGAACCTCCTTCTTCCTGAAGAAACAATACGGATCGGGCTACCGCTTGGTAATATAATAATATTAACATAATGTCCAGGGTTCGGAATTTAACACACATGTTAAAAACATGTAAAATTCTATTTTACAGTGTGAGCAAAGTTTTTGACATACGTGTCAAAACAAAAGTGTTAAAATGTGAAAAATAATTGTTGACGCACACAGAGCACTTGTGTTTTTTACACAATGTGTTATTAACACGACGTGTTTTTTACACTTCAGTTCATTTCAGGTTCAACATATATTTCTGACGTTTTAATGTCAAAAACTTATTGTGTTAAAGACACGTTGTGTTAATAGCACGTCATGTAAATAACACAAATAACCTGTGTGTGTTATTTATGTTTCTAACATATGTAAGCTACAATTTTTTACAAACATGTCAATAACTTTTTTTGAACTTAACACTTTGACATTTAACATGTTAATAACACAAGTTTTTTACAGAGTGTCTTATTTTCCGAACCCTGATAATATCATATAACTATTTAACATAATAAATCCCCCTTTTAGATCTGTGTAAAGCGAGATGATTGCGAAACGAACGAGGTGACCGCCCTGCTGAACAAGTTTATTCCCGGCCTGAAGCCGGAGTGCGACATTGGCGCCGAGCTGTCCTATCAACTGCCCGATAGCGCCTCCTCCAAGTTCGAGGAGATGTTCGGCCAGCTGGAGGATCAGTCCGACGAACTGCATCTGAATGGCTACGGCGTGGGCATCACCTCGATGGAGGAGGTGTTTATGAAGGTCGGCGCCGAGAAGGACAGCACCGGCAACCTGAAGGACCAGAGCGAGATTATGAACGGCGGCAGCGGCTTCCGCGGCGAGGATGACAACGAATCTGTACAGTGTAAGCAGTGTTTGAACTCGATCCCGGATCCTGAACTCCCGATAAGCTCAATTAACTGTTTGCAGCCGATGGCATCTTCTCGGAGAATCGCCGCCTGCTCCAGGGATTCCAGCTGCTCTCGAACCAATGGAAGGCCATGCTGCTCAAGAAGTTCCTCTATACGTGGCGCAACAAGTTGCTGCTGCTCATCCAGAACATTATGCCCGTCTTCTTTGTGGTCGTGACCATTTTGATTATCGAAACGCAGGGCACTTTCCAGGAACTGAAGCCCATAACCATGTCGTTGACTCAGTATCCACTGGCCGTCACCGTTTTGGATCGCTCCGCGGTGGCGAATGGTACGTCCACCGCGAATCTAGCCAATAGTTATGAGAAAATGGCCCTGGCCCATGGCAGCAATTACGGTTTGGAACTGACGGGCAAGCAGCTCTTTGAGGTATGCTAATCCTATTGTTTAATCTTGGCATTTAACTAATCTTTCTTTTGGTTTTCAGGACTACATCCTGGAGCTGGGCAAGACGATCCAGGTGCGCATCAACTCGCGTTACCTGGTGGCCGCCACCATCAACGAGACCATGATCATTGCCTGGCTAAACAATCAGGCTCTGCATACGGCTCCCCTGACCGTCAATATGGTGCACAATGCTATTGCCGATCAGCTGATGGGTTCGAATGTGAGAATCGAGGTGACCAATGCCCCGCTGCCGTACACGACCAACACTCTGCTGTCGCAGCTAAGCATGGGCAATAATCTGGGCACCCAGCTGGCCTCCAATCTTTGCTTCTGCATGTGCTTCGTTAGCTCCATCTACATCCTGTTCCTGATCAAGGAGCGCGAGTCCAGGGCCAAGCTGCTGCAGTTTGTGGGCGGCGTGAAAGTTTGGACCTTCTGGCTGTCGCAGTTCATTTGCGATTTCGCCACCTACATTGTGACCGCTCTGATCGTCGTGATCACGATCGTCTGCTTCCAGGAGCCGGGGCTCTCGAGCTTCGCGGAACTGGGCCGATACTATTTGCTGCTGCTGCTCTTCGGCTTCGCCGTTCTGCCCTTCATCTACATTATGTCGCTGTTCTTCAAGGAGCCGGCCACCGGGTTTGCTCGCGTCTCCATCGTCAATATCTTCTGCGGCATGGCCCTGTTCATTGTCGTGGTGGTAATGTCCTCGGAGCTATTCGACACCAAGGACACGGCCGACATACTGGGCTGGATATTCCGCATCTTTCCGCACTTTTCGCTGGCCATGGGTCTGAACAAGGTCTACACGAACACGGCCACGAGGAATGCCTGCGCCAAGGCCGGAGCGATCCCACCCATTCTGCTCTGCGAGCTGGTGCCACAATGCTGCAGTGAGTGTTTTGGGACCTGGGATATTGGAAAAATTAAATTACATTTAAGTAAATTACAGTTTGAGTGCGAATCGTATTTTTTAAAAGTATGCAATCTAAAATTTCAAGCTGTAAATCCCAAAGAATTCGTGGTTACTATTTTTCCATTAGTGCTCTATAACATTTTAACGCTCTTAAAGGCAAAATACATTTTATATAAATAGTATTTAATTTAATTTTCCAATTTTATTTTCCATCTCTAGACCTGTGATAAGATTTTGATTACAAATACTATTTTCGAAACATATACAAACATAAAATTCAAGCTGTGAATCCTAAAGAATTCGCGGTTACTTAGTGTTCGCGTTAGTGTTTATAACATTTTAACGCTCTTAAAGGCTAAATATATTTTATTTAAATAGTATTTAATTTAATTTTATAATTTTATTTTCCAATTCTAGACATCAAGCCGTTCTTCGCCTGGGAGGAGCCTGGCGTTCTGCCCGAGACCGTCTACATGACTGTCACCGGCGTCGTCTTCTTCCTCATCATCATTGTGCTGGAGTTTAGACTCATCAACGAGCTAATGTTCAAGATCCGTCAAATGTTAACGTAAGTGATTGCGACTAGTGGTTAATTGGTCAATATAACATTGTGTATTTTTTTCTTGTTTAGTAAACCACCGCCACCACCGCCGGAGGGCCACTTGGATGACGATGTGGCCAACGAACGGGAGCGCATTATTCACATGTCCTCGGATGAGCTGGTCACCAAGAATCTAGTGCTGGATCGGGTCACCAAGTACTACGGTCAGTTCCTGGCCGTCAATCAGGTGTCGCTCTGCGTACAGGAGTAAGTAGATATGTTGAATTAAGTCAGATAATACAATTTCACTTTGAGTATTAATTATTAATATTTATTAATAATAATACAAATATATTTGTAGCCTAAATATAATTTTATAATTTTTTTTAAATGAAAATACAATTTCTTTAATTACTTAAATATTATTATTTCTAATGAGAATTTATTTTTATTTATTATATTAGCTTTACACAATTTTCATAGTGATTAAATATGATTTTCATTAGTTTACTTTTATTTTAAGTACTAAGTCAGTCGTAACATGATATTATAAAAGTTTTATAAATTGTTATTAATTAAAAAAAAAATTTCTTTCACCCTACAGAGTCGAATGCTTTGGGCTGCTGGGCGTGAACGGAGCAGGCAAGACAACGACCTTCAAGATGATGACCGGCGACGAGCGGATCAGCTCGGGAGCCGCCTACGTCCAAGGTCTGAGCCTGGAATCGAACATGAACAGCATTTACAAGATGATCGGCTACTGTCCGCAGTTCGATGCGCTGCTGGACGATCTGACGGGTCGCGAGGTGCTGCGCATTTTCTGCATGCTGCGCGGCGTGCAGGAGTCTCGCATTCGCCAGCTCTCGGAGGATCTGGCCAAGTCGTTTGGCTTCATGAAGCACATCGACAAGCAGACGCACGCCTATAGTGGCGGCAATAAGCGTAAGCTGAGCACGGCCATTGCTGTGATCGGCAGTCCGTCCGTCATTTACCTGGATGAGCCCACCACGGGCATGGATCCGGCGGCCAGGCGTCAGCTGTGGAATATGGTCTGTCGCATTCGTGACTCGGGCAAATCCATTGTCCTGACCTCCCACAGCATGGAGGAGTGCGAGGCGCTGTGCACGCGACTGGCCATTATGGTGAATGGTGAATTCAAGTGCATTGGCTCCACGCAGCACTTGAAGAACAAGTTCTCCAAGGGCCTGATCCTCAAGATCAAGGTGCGTCGCAATCTGGAGGCGCTGCGGCAGGCGCGTTTGAGCGCCGGCTTTGCTCGCAATCCGGATGAGCAGACGGTGCCCGCCCAAATGGCCCAGCAGGACATAGATGCCGTCAAGGAGTTTGTGGAGCACGAGTATCCACACTCCATACTGCAGTGAGTATTATGGTTTTATCTAAAATTATCTAAAATATCAATATTTATTTAATTTTATTTCTAAAAGGGAGGAGTACCAGGGCATTTTGACGTTCTACATTCCACTGACTGGGGTGAAATGGTCGCGCATCTTTGGCCTGATGGAGAGCAATCGCGATCAGCTGAATGTGGAGGACTACTCGGTCAGCCAGACGACGCTGGAGGAGATCTTCCTGGAGTTCGCCAAGTACCAGCGCGAGGATACGCGCGCCAATCAGTGAGCTAGCCCCCAACAAAAGACACAACAGTTGATAACCACCTGGCTTTTAACGGGCTTCTTGCTTCTTGGCTTCATCATCTTCTTCTACCTGTCGCATCGCATTCGACCAGCACGAACCAAAAGAATAACAAAACGAGCACTGCAGCACGGCCCGAAACATCATCATATATTTCTCATACACGACCTGCACCCGGAGTCATTTTATGAATTTTGTTTAACAATTTTTTTGTTTGTAGTTTTAGCCAACCGACACCCTAATCCTAGCTAGATCGCCATAAGCTAACTCTGCTGCATGCGTATTTCCCCTGGGGGAGCTAACAATATCCAACTAACAACCACTACTACTTGCACTCTGTGGCCCGAGTTAATTTTAACCCTGTTACGTCTGTTCTTTCTACTCCCTTCTGACAAATCTTTCCCCACAATATCCAGCCGCCTCTCCGAACTGAGGAAGCTGTGCAAGTGCCTGCTAGCAAATGAGTATTGAACCAACTACCTGAACGGATCCGATCCGATCCTGAGATCTTAAAACACTCACAGATAATAATGTTTTATACCAAAAAAGAACAACGCCGATGCCTGAACAGCTAACAAATAGTTTCTAAGCTCGACCTGACAATAGATAGCAGCGATTATGCCTTTTTTCATTGTGATCATCTAGCAAAATTTACACTATAACGAAGAGATATCTATAAACTGTATGTTTTCTATATATATATATAGTTATATCTGCTTGACTTGCACGATAAGTTCCGATGATCTTTTCTGTCTTGTTTAATCACTCTTTTTTCGCCCCCTAAAAAGTATTGGCCAGTTGTGGCCGGAAACTATTCCCAGCGCCTAAAGGAAACTTGTTGCATATAGAGAGTACTAAATATATGTGTATTTATTTCGATGTACTTAGACCGGATAACCAAAGCGTGTAAATAAGTCAATTTAACTGTGGCACAAACTCTACGATACATATGAGAATTTACAAATAATGTTAAATGTGTACTATACGATTGAATTAAATTTTATCTAAATGTAAACTAGTCTCAGTGATTTAGGGGGTGGAAAAGTGTAGATCTGATTGTCTGGGAAAGTGATTGTTAAGATTACAGATGCTTATTGATATTGGATGGACCAGCAGACCAGTGATGGTCATTATCAGGATGATTCGTTGGCTAGAGATGAAATCTGAGTATTCTGGCCAATTCCAGAATAGGGTAAGTAATAGAGTTTAAAAAATTATCGACAGTTTGCTATTTCTCGATTAGTAATATGTGTTTTTCGTTCAAAACATTGATATTATTGAATCAATATTGGGAAAATATCGAAAATATTAATAGTTTTCGATCTCTAGCACTTGCGAATATTGTTTAAAAAGTTGTGAATACACAGTAAAATATACGTGTTATAATTTTTATTAAATTAATTACGATGAGAGATTTTATAAACATTTAAAAATAAATTTTAAACCAATTCCAATGTTTGATTTCTTTCATTTCATTTCATTTCATTTTACAGTCAGGCGAATATTGTCATATCCGCTTTCAAAGGCTTTTTTCAGCTCTTTCGCTCCTCTTGCTGGTCATCTTTGCCTTATGTGTGCCCTCCTTTGTGTGTGCAGATATCTATATAGTACTATAAGGCGTTAGATATATCGTGTCAGTTGCATGTTGATTTTTGGCAACATGCAGGCGTATTTATTTATCCTTTGGCATAACATTTTTATTGCATTCTAAAGCAAACAAATGACAATAAAAGCTTTTACGTACATACATATATTTTTCCGAATAGAAAAGCGAAAGAGTGGGCATTAAAATGACACAAGAGTGCTCACAAAAAAGAAAATAGAAAAATCTGGAAAAATAGTTATAAAGTCCAGACGAAGTGCGAATTGCGGGGGAGGCGCAAAGGAGGCGATGACAGAGGGTATTATCAACAAAAAGGGAGTTATTTCACTAGTAAATTTGAGCTAAGACATTATTTTAGTTTCAATTTTAAAAATTTACTTTTTTGAAAATTCTAAAAAAAATTCAAAAACACTTTGGTGCTTTCTATTGAACCTAAAACAATAATTGAAATTATTTAATCTATGTTAGTATTTATGAAAAATATATTTATCCTTTTTTCAAGAGAGCATTCCAAGTTCGTGGCTTTTTTTGGAAACTCGTTCAATTTGTATCCCTTCGCGCTTCTCGGACTCGTTTCCATTTCCATTCGTATCTTCAGCTCTGCGCCTCACATTCAATTGCATTTATTGACCTAAGAAATATTTTATTACTTTACGCTTGGCAAATATTAGTTGCCCATCGTCAATGGCGGGAATCTCCTTCGTTTCCTTTTTTTTTTGGGAGAAGGACCTACAGCGAATTTGTTGTCATTGACGCAGGCAGCAAAATGAAACGATGATGCTGTCCCTGTCCTGTCTTGGCTAATATATCCGGCCTGGTTTCATCCTTTTCGTCCTTCACCCCGCTGCTTCGCACTCTCTCACTTTGATTTCTTGGCAACGCTTTTTTACTCATCTCGCGCACTCGAAGAAAATTTTAAATTATATAAAATAGATCTACTACTCTACTATTGAATATATTATTGATAATTATAACAAAGCTGTCCAATATGTAAACTACAAAAAAATGTTTTTGGGTCTTGAGAATTTATTACTCCTACGCACTGTTGCCTTCGATCATAAATGTATTTTTCCCAAAAAAATCTTTTTTGTTCTTCCAATTATTACTTATGTATATGCGAACGCTTGCAAAGCTAGAAATTGAAGAAGGATTAATTTGTTTTTAATTATAACTGGCATACATGTCGTATGAGTAATTTTACCGGATACTTTGAGACCACTGCGTAAAACCTAAAACTCAAAATACAATTTCGAATATATTTATTGCACATCAAAATGTACATTTTTTTTAAAGGATTTAAGAGGTTCAAGGTTGCCGATTCGTTTTTTCTTCAGTGTACATTTTTTTCTATATTTTTTTTTAGGACTCGACGAACTTTGGCAAATATTTTGGTCATAGCCGAGATTTGCGTGCCTCGCCAATGGTTTTGTTTGTTCTGCTGTGTCCAGTCATCTGCCCCCCTCCCCCTTCCCCCTTCCAGCCACCCCCTTCCCCCACATCATCCCTCTCGCTCACTCGCTCGCAACCGAATGTGGGTAATTCGGTCATGAATATGCGAACAATTTCAGCCATTGTCCGAGGAGCATTTTTTGGGTGCGCATATTTGTCGCAAATGGACTACATTACAACATTACAGTTATCTTTTGATATGTGCTGGTGTGTGTGTGTATGTGTGGAACATAATATCTCATAGAGAACATTACGGCCCAAAAGTCTAAATAAAGAAAGTCACGAAAAAAATATCCCATAAAATGTGTGTTTTTGGGGTGGACTAAAAAAATAATAAATTATAACATTTTCTTCCATTTTTTTTTTAATATTTCTCTAAAATTATAGACATTAAAAAATGAGTTATTTAAATAAAAGCTTCGTCCTTAAATTTAAGGTCACGCAGTGAATTTTATAGGAAATATTTTGTTTTCTATTTAGCTTCCAAAATACTTCCTATAAAATTCACCGCGTGACCTTAAATTTAAGGAACAATTCAAGTCCACCCCGGGGCACTTCTATGAATGTTTTGTGTGCATAAACAAACAAACAAAGGCCGCATAACATTAAAATGTAACACAAAAAGCCACAACAACAACAACAACAGCGGCAGCAGCAATAACCACGGCTCATGTTTTGTGCTTGTGTGATTAAAATTAAAATAAGCGGCGACATGTTGAACTTGAAAAATTCGTTGTGCGTTGCTTATGACAACAACAACAGTAATCATAATAATAACAACAATGAGAAAAGCAACTAAAACTGTGAGGTAAAAAGGATCGAATCATAAGATACCCTACGAAAAGTAATGTTTTTAAAGGCCTATTGAATACTCCTCTTGGCGGAATTTGTTGGCACTTAAATAAAGACTACTCATTTATTAAAATAAATATATATTTTTAGAGTTTTAAAATAAAACAACCTTTATGAATGCTATAAAAAAAAAAAATTAAAAATCGTTACAATTCAGTTTTACAAAATATGTAAATTAGATGGTCATGTCAGGTCATAATATTATAGCCCTTTTATAGGGTATCAAAACAAAAGCACATGGCACAGAGTGCAGTGAGTGTGAGATAGTGGGCGACATCGTGGGAGGGAGAGAACAATAATAGCCCTACTAATGGCCGAATAACTCATTTGGATTAGAAAAATCTTTGTCCCATAAACGATTCCCAATTAAAATCATTGCGCTGCTAACTTTCTTTTAACTGGCATTGCTGCTGTTTCTTCTTCTTTGCCAGCTGCCCTTCTTCTTCTGTCTTTGGCGTAAGTAAGTGATGTTATAGTGGTAAAAATACAGGGTATTCAGGGGTCTGATGTAAAGCATATGTTTTTGGTGCATACAATAAAGATAAGCATTAAACAAAAATTTTATTATTTCGAGCTATTTTTTTATCTTATTTTCAGTAATTTATTAAAGACAGCTAAATTTTTAAAAATGTATATTTTAAACTCACGAAATTCAAAAACATTTTGGAAGTTACAATTCTTCTATTATTTCCCATTAATTTTAAAATGACCTATTTTTATTGTCTTTCGTTTTCTAAACCGAATGTTTATCATTTTATGTTTGTAAGCTTTTCTTAGATTTCATAATTTCGAATTTTATTTTTTGGTGACCCCAACCAATACCATCGCATCCAAAAACAAAATTACGGTATTCGAAAGCGTTGCACTTGCCGCTTACAAAACAAACACGCACACAGTCACACACGCTCACGTGCGAGCGCGACAAAAAATCAAAACAACAAAATCCACGCTGGAAACAGCTGCTTTGGCTTGGCATTGAAATTGCCGGAGAGCGATGGAGAGCATGGGGAGCGATGGGGAACGTGGGGAGCGAGGGAAAGAGAGCGGCGATGATGCGGACACGAAGGCCAGGCCAATTGGCCGAAGATGCCCGAAGGCCCGAGTCCACATGAACCGTTGAATTTGGAGCCGAACCGGTTTTTGGCGCTACATTGGCGCTGCGTTGGCGCTACATTGGCGCTCAGTGCAAAACGAAGCACTGAAGGTGTCAGTTGGGCTCCCGACGGTTCTACTTTTTTTAGCTCCCACAGCCAACACAACTCTCAGCGATTTTGACGCAAATTTTGAACGTACGTACGAACCGGTGATTTCACAAAACGCGTTTCGATTCAATACGAAAAATAAAAGTAAAAATATAAAAAAACAGTATAAACTAACAAAGAGATATTCAAATAAACCTCAAACACACAATTAAAGTGCTAATGATTTGGGATTTTTTCTCACAACTTAAACATTTTTTTAATTGTGTTGCTCACTTTTTTTTTACGTTTCTGTGCCATTAAATCATCTTTCCAGCGAAAAAGTGCTAAAAACAAAGTGTTGTTGTCATTGTTGTTGTGCTCAATCAAAACCTATTTAGCATATAGATTTTTTTTCAAGTGTGTGAGACCGCATTGATCGTGATCGTGATCGTCATCTCCGCTTTCTGCCTTATCTTATTTGTTTTCTCTCTCTCTGTCTGGCTAATTAGCAATTCGAATGTTGTTTTTGCAGCTGATTTAATTGATTGATTCCAATTCTGAAAACAATGTGCCAAGTGCATAAATTCAGGAAGCGCTTTCCGACTTAAATAATAGCCTTTTCTGGTGGCCTAATTTTAGATTTTCAAGGAATGTCATTGAACTTTCTACCAAAATAATTTATGCGGTTGGTTGAAAAAAAAATGTGTCACCATAAAAAATTAAAAAAAATTTGATTAAATTTTTTTTTCTTACCGTTTTAAAGAAATAATATTATAAAACAATCAGAATTTTTCCTAACAATGTTGATACAAAATATTCCAGTGTCAACAAAAAAATTTATAAGCAAATTAAATTTTTTAATTTTTTCATTAAATACTATAAATAATGTTTTAAATATTACAAAAAAACCAAAGCGAATCAAAGCATTATAAATCTACAAAGTCCCTACGATTCGTTTCCTTAATCATTTGTCATTAGTTAAATTATTTTCACGATGTCGGATTAAACCAGAGCGATTAAAAAATGTGTAAAAGGATATAAACAAATGTTTTTTTCCTACCCTAGAAACGAATATAACAACCTTTAACTCTTTAATATAAAAGCCATGTTTTAAATGGGAACATAATTGCAATGATCAGTGTTGAGTGTTCCACTTTGTCGAGCAATTTCCTTTGAGGTCCTCTGTTTTTGTTTTTTTTTTTAGGCCGAGTCGTGTAACGTCCTCTAATATACATGGCTAATAATGCCTTTTCTTACGCCTCCGAAAGTGAAGGGGATTCCCCCCCGCTCTACCCCCCTAAAACCACCCACATATCGCGTCTTGTTCGGCGAACTATAAACATTAAATAACAATAATAAACAGCAACAAGAGCCGGGCAGAAAGTTGAAGCAGTTTGTCTAAGTGGCTTGGGGCTTTGTCAAAGCATATAAAATATAATACAATAGAAAGTATATAGAAGCCGCAACAACAACAACTACAAGAACAACAACAACAATGGCAACGAGTACGTCGCAGTTGTTGGCTCCAAAACACGCAACAGTCCGTCAGAATAAAGTCAGCCATGCCCACCGTCGTCGTTTTAGAGGCCCCTTTGCATCCCCCGGAATATAAATATATGTACTACCATATATGTATATATTCCCCTCCAGTAACATCGCGTGTTCCGGGGACCCCAGCTTGAAGGACTCTCGCCGGGGTTCAGGGGGCCTGCAAAGGGGCTTCAAACAGCGAGGGCTCCAAAGGCTCCCAATCTCCACTTTACACCGCTGAAAAATTCAACAATAATTCGATGTTGTTTGCCGATCAATTATTACTAATGGTTATCAATCGAAAATAATCGGATTGCCAATTTTCTTCAAGTCTAGACAATATAAAATGTTTTTCACTTTCAAAATTCTACTTTTATTGAACTTTAAATCCTAAAAATAACAAACATTTACTCTTGTAATAGCTATAAAATTAATTTAAATTTAAAAAGTCATTGAATTTCCATTCAATTTTAGTTCAATTTAATATCAATTTCAATATAAAATATTAGTATATTTATACAAATTATAAATTCCATTAAATGAATAAAATGATCTGCTTTCAATGGTCGGAGCTGCCTCGTTTTCGCTCAGTGCACACTCTCAAGCACTCGTACTTATAAGCCTATAGCACATAGAGTACAATTTTTTCTATAACAAAATTTTCTATATTTTTTTCTACATATTTTTTTTGTGTTTTATTCTTTATGTTATTTTTTTCGCCACTGCCACCGCTGTGCAACGCTCCCGTTACCGTTACGCTGCCGTTCTCGATCCCGTACTTCTACTTGCAACCGGAGAGTAGGTCAGGTCAGTATGTGTTACTATTTAGTCATAAGGGGGGGTGGGGGTTCCTGGGGGTTCCGACTGCCCCCCGCGTGTGCGGCAGGCTTATTAATTTACTGCGACTTTTGTTCCGCTGCTTTTCAGCTGGAAAGTTGGAAAAGTCTTGTGGCTGCCGACAAATCAATCAGGAAAACTTAAGCGAAACTGATTGAAATGCGGCAGGGGAAACATTTTTGACAATCGTTGGGAATAACGTATTTATTATTATATTCTGGGAGCAAGGTTTTTAAAATTTAATGTAATTTACAATGCCTGAACAATTTACTCTCTTCAGAAAATGGAGTGTTTTTGATTTTCTGATTTATTTCTTAACTTCACTTTATCTATTATTTATTGGTTGGTTGAAAATTTAGCATCTAGAACAAAGGTTCTTTATTGCTGAATTTTTTAAATGTTTTTTGCGGAGAAAACCATTGCATGTACATATGTAAGTTGGTATTTGAGTTGTTTCCGTTGCAGTTTCGGGTTAAAGATTTTATTGTGCTCTTTATATATTATTTAAAACTTTAAAATTGTGTCAACAATTGCAGCTTGTTGTTTGGTGAATATATTTTGTAAGCATTTGCCAAGAATACTTAAACTCCAAACTAAACTATTGCTGAGTTCTCCCTTTCATCAAAGTTCTATGCACACACACATAACACCAATTTAACAATTAACCCATCCATCAAAGTCAAGCCTATAATCTGAAACATCCTAGCCCAAAAACTAAGACCAAATTCAATTAGTCTTTCACTATCGATCAAAATCAATTAAATGGTACCAAAAATGCTCGAAAATTATATCGCTATTATGCAAAACGAGTCGCAAAGTTTGCCTAAAGAAACTTTCGCAACAAATAAATTCTATGAGGCTACGTTATATTCGATTATCCCCCCGCACTCGCACGCAAATTATTTGCAACTTTTTTTTGTGTTTTTGTGTTGGAGAAATTTAATTTGTGGGCGAGGAACGTGAATTTTTGTGCGGGTGTTTCAGAGTTCCGAAAGTTTTTGCTGACTCAAACAATTAGCTGCGATTGAAAGTTATGCCCCGAAAAAAAACACACACAGAGAAGATAATTTTGTGGGTATTTTCTTCTGTAAAAGCTGTAAACGTATTTTAATAATGCAAAACCTGAACAAAATTGCTGCAAAATGTTCCCCAAAGTCTCTGGAAAGCCGCAGAAATAGCCAAGAAAATCGGGGTATAAAAAAAAGAGGACAAGAAAAATCGGCAAAGCGCAACGAAAAAACAAAAATTGAAACAAAGCAAAACGAAATGAAACAAAACTGGGGAATCGAGAGAAGGGCGAAAAACAAAAGCTCATAGCGCACTTTTGGTTGCTGCGACTGTCAAGCCAAATGCACAGAGACAAAGGCTAAAAGGGGGTGCTGAAAATGAAAAGGGGGTGAAAGGGAAAGGGGGGCCTAAAGTCATCTGAGGTGGAAATGTTGCCAGCCTTGTTGCACGTCCTCTCCCAAAAAACTAAAGCCAAACTCTCGAGAGTCGACCATTAGGTATCCAATTTATTGCCCAATCCTCCCACCAATTTTCATAAGCATTTTCCAAAAAACAAGCCAAAATAATAATACAACCAAAACCCATTTTTGTGTGTATTTTACAAAGAATAAACTTTAAGAAAATCAAAAAGGGGAAATGAAATGCAGTATACTAATAATTATAATTATATAATCTTAACGAAGTCATAAACTATTAATCTTAGTTTATTATAATTTTGGAAAGGCAACTTCTTGTCATTATTTTAAATAGTAACTGCCAATTATAAACAGGAAATATATGAGGCTATTTTATAGGAAGCAAATATTTTTATTAGCTACTTTGACTTGGGTATTTCAAGCATTTTATTCAGGGTTTTTTTCTTTTGAAAGTAGAAAACATTTTAATTATTTCTGGTTTAAATACATCCTAATTATAATCTAAAAATTGTTTATAGGAAGCATATATTTCTTGTACTATCACTTGGGTATTTTATTCTGGGTTTTTTCTTTAAAGTTCCGTAGCAAAAAAATCTGTTTTTTTTTTGGGGAATTTTCTAGCGGATATACTCGAATTACCCATTGGCATTTTCCGCACTCGGCGACCTGCTTTTGTGGCCCACTGTTTCAGTGGCATTCGGTGCAGCGCTGCGGTCTGTGGCCAAAAGCAACAACCACGTTTGCTAACAATGCGCTGGCCATATTTTCAAGGTCCCCGAACTGCGGCAGGAGTAAATCATAGGCAAAACAAAAAAAAAAAGACCAAAAGACAAAGACAAAGCAAAGGGCTAAGGACACATCTTGTGGTCGGCTGAACTCACTGGCCCGCTCGCCCCAAGGCTCTCCAAGGATAAAAACTAGGGATCTGCTCTGAAGCCCAACGACCATTCCAAGCCAAACGAAACGAAACTAAATCAAAGCAAAATTCTGGCAAATTAAATAATCAAAAACAATTGTTGGAGAGCTTCTTCGTCGGCGACGAGGGCAAATTGGATTACGTGTAGATTGGTTAAGATGCCGCCATATAAAACAGAGGAGCTAAGTAAATATATATACTCTGTGTCCCTCGTTTTTAGATAGTGAACTGAACCCAAAGGTTATCGCTACCAGCAGCACAGTCTCCGCGTTTTCAGGTCGTTTTCGTTTCTATTGGAATAATATTATCTCCAACACTTTTCGGTTTTTTCTATATTTTTTCTAGAGAGAGGAAGGGCAATTCAGCGCTATAGATGTATAATTATAAAAAAAGCTTTTGAGAT